TTTCTTTTTCACTATCCAACTTTTGCATATGAAGTGACTAAAAAGATTACAGCTTGGATTAGATCAACCTTAGTCATCAAAGTTACATCTTTGTTTTTTAAAACTTTAAAGAGATCTGATAATTTAGAAATTTTCATATTTTCTCAATACATTATGTCATTTGCCTTCTTGACTACTGATCTTACGGATATTGATTGTTGGTATAAATAGAATTAAATTGTTGACTACTTAATTTTTTTTTCCATTCACCATTATGTTGTTTATCAATCCACTTGTGAGGCTTTTCATTTTCTTCAAATTCAGGTGTCATCCATAATGAAGTCTTTGACCTTCATCAGCAAGTGCTTCAGATAATCTTTATTTTTGGCTAGGAAGGCCGTATCACATACAAATGACAGGTTGTTAATGAGTCTTCCTGTAATCGTGATGCCAAATTCTTTTTCACATTGTCCAGCTTCACAGATTATTTGTTTAGAATACAGATTTAATAAATAGAGTGAAAGGATGTAACCCTGTCACACACCTTTTTTGATTTTAAATCACACAGTATCCCTTTCTTAGTTTGAACAATTGCCTTTTGATCCATATACAAGTTTCCCACGAGCAGAATTAAGTGTCCTGGAATTGCCATTCTTTGTAATGCTATCCTAATTTGTTATGATACACACAATCAAATGCCTTTATGTAGTTAATAAATACAGGTAAACATCTTTATAGTATTCTCTTTATTCCACCAAGATCCATCTGACATCACCAGTGCTATAATTTGTTCCATGACTTCTTCTGAGTCCAGCTTGAAGTTCTGGAAGTTTCCTACCAAAGTAAAGCTGTGGTAATTTTTGAATTATCTTCAGCAAAATTTTGATAACATAATTTCCACATCTGTTTCAATGCTTATCTTTGGAATGGGCATGGATCTATTGAATCAGGAATATTCAGATGAACTCACCAATCTGCGTTTTAACGAGCCATCCAAGTGATTATAATTCATTCTAAAGTTTAACTGACTATTTATCTTCTGTCATGGATTGGATTGTCTCCTCCCAAAAGATATGTTGAGGTCCTATGCCTGAACCAGTGAGTGTGAACATATTTTGGGAAATAAAGGTTTTCTTTTTTTATCAGTTTGGTTAAACAAGGCCATGTTGTTGTTGTTGTTGTTATGTGCCGTCGAGTCGGACCTGATTCATAGCGACCCTTCCTTGGGTTTCTGAGGCAATATCACTATGGAAGTAGATTGCCCCATCTTCCTTCCGAGGAGTGGCTGGTGGGTTTGAACCACCAGTCTTCTGGTTAGCAGTCAAGTGCCTTAAGCACTACACCACCAGAGCTCTCAAACAAGGTCATACTGGAGTAAAAAGCCATTGACATTGAATCTATTTCAACTCATATTGACCCTACAGGACAGGGTAGAACTGCCCCACAGAATTTCCAGGGCTATAATCATTATAGAAGCAGATTGCCACAACTTTCTCCCACATACTGGAGTAGGGTGGATCTTAATCCTTTCTGAGTGGTGTTTTCTAAAAAAAGAGTCACACATGGGGAATGTCAAGAGGGGAGGTGCCATGTGATGACAGAGGCAGAAACAAAGGAACACCAAGGATTGCCAGCAGCCCTTAGAAAGTAGGAGAAAGGACCACAGAAGAAACTGTGAATGCTGAGAGCCTGATTTGGAACTTTAGCCTCCAAAATTGTGAGAACATAAATTTCTGCTTTTTAAAGCCATTTACTTTGTGGTATTTTGTTATGGCAGCTCTAGGAATCTAAGACATCATCTAATAATAACTCTATTCATCTGCACTTATTTAGTTCGCTATAAATTTACATACTCCCTTGAGATCAGAAGCTTCCCGAGAAGGGATATTCCACCAAATGTATATTCCAGCAATTACTAAAATCCTGTTGAAGGATTATTTCAAGATAAATTATTTTAATATGAGTCTATATTGTAATTTGAAAATGCCAGTTACCATTTTCATTTTTACAAGGAAGACCACTTAGATTCATAATACTCACAGAAATATAGTCAATTGACCAATTGTTTTTTTCACAAAAATTGTGACCAAAATGACAAGCAAGATAGTGCCAAATGGAAATCTCAGATAATATCTCCTGCATGTCTCATCCTCATACCACTTTCCTAGCCCTTCAAATACCAGAAGCTGCAGTATGATGGATTGAGGAAAGGAAAGTGTGGGCAACTTAATGAAGAAAACCCTGAACTTTGCCAAGGGAATTAAAAATACAGTAATTACAAGTACACTTTGGAATTACAGTGATGTACCAAGCTTGAACTACTGAGTGTGGTGGAATTAACAAAGTAAACTCCAGTACCTATATTCTGATTTTAATTCACACTTGTTTTGCAAAATTCAGGCCCCCTGAATATAATGCAGCTATAAAGCTGTTTTCTACACTGTATGGGCATTCTCTAGGAGATAATTGACTATTTGGCATTCAAGATAATTTAAAATTCTAAATGAATGGGGGGCCATATTTTCTATCTAAGATCACTCTATGTAGAGGTTTCTTATATTTAATGAAGTCAGTGAAAAATATACATTAGTAGAATTAAAAGTTATGACAATTTGGTCTTTTTCAGATAGATTTTACTATAGCATAGTGTGCATCAAAATTGGAATTTTTACTTCTACAACCTGGTTACATAAGATAATATTAGATATCATCAGTCTTGCTGCACAGCCTCCCTGGCCACCCTCCCTCCCGGTGCCCAGCTGCTCCTAGTCACCAAACTGTGGCTGCTTTGGACACCTGGGCCCCTGGCAGCAGCATGACAGGTTGGAAAATGTTTGAAGAAGAATGAAGGAACTCAAGACAGGGAATGACTTAATGACAAAATGTCCCAACTCACTGGTTGGGCAACAGTGTCCCAAGTGACCCTTGCTAGAGCTTGATCCTAAGTGTCCTGCACATTTGGATGCCCACCAATTTTCTGCCTTTAAGATCCCCTTAGACATACGGCATGCCCCAGAATTGTCCCAGGGAAGAACAGGAGATGTCAGAAAGGCTGGGCAGATGGTCTTGGGAGGGTGGGGTTCAGTAGGAAGAATAATCCATGTGCCTGTCCTCTGTTCCAGCAACTGATTATTGAGATTGCGTTTTTTTTGTGTGTGAGTGTTGGGGAGAAGAGTCCCACGAAGGAAGCTAGGCGGTACTGCTTCCTTCTTCAAGAAAGAGAAACCAGGTTTATTAGAGCTTATGAGGTAGTCTCTAAATCTGTTTAATAGCAATTGGCCAGTATTTAGAAGCATCAGGGAGGGAAAACCTATATGAGGAGGTGATATTTGAGCAGAGACTCAGAGTGGTCCTTGAAGGGAGGGTGTGGGGTGGGATGAGGGTTTGCTCCAGATTTAGGAAACAGTGAATATAAAAGCCTGAAGATTGCAAGAAATGTAAGCACCAGAGTGAAGAATATGGCCTCTGCTGTCAGACTGTCTCAGTTCAGCTCTGCAATAGTATTTGTATTTGTGTTGAATAAAGATAAAGCACCTTATAAGAGAAATAGAAAATGCACTTTGTCATCTCTTTGTTATCATCTGTTAATTACCTCACCTTCTGGATGTTAAACTACTATTTAGTCTGAGAATTTAGCATGTCCAGACTCAAAACTGGATTTAATTTTATAGCTCAATCAGCCTCTTGAAGGTTACCACAGACAGTCATGCTAAAGATTCTTGCAGTCTTAACGTTGATACTTACGTTTTTCCCCAAAATCAGACTGCTCCATTATTAATAGAAAAAGTTCATTTCAGTGGAACTGATTTTCATGAGTTACTTTTTGAAAAATGAGTTCTGGTGGCATAAGGGTTAAGTGCTCATCTGCTAATTGAAAGGTTGTGCAGTGTAATAAATTACCTGGTATGGCTTTTCTAGCCATAAGTCTTTGTAAACTCTGTGGTGGAATTTGCTGTGAGCAACTGAGGAGCTCCTGGTTGTAAAAGTTATCCACCTGGGGTATTTCTGTTGGGCGTGGCATGGGGCAACATTCTGGGAAGTTCCCTCTCTCTCAAGTGCTTAGAATTCTGATATTATGATTGCCTAGTTTGGCCACTCTGCTCGGGCTCAAAAGGAGGCCTCCTAGAGGCAGAAGGCTCTCTCTGACTGCTGGCTGAGAAGGATGTGCTGCTGAGAGAAACATGCTCCTGAGAGACATGTGCTGCTGGGAAAGAGATGCAAGAGACATGCATTGCTGACAGAGACATCACTGGGAGAGAGACTGTTGGCTGAGAGATGGCAGGCTGAGAGAGACTGAGCATTGTTCTTGAACTTGAATTGTAGCCTGGTGTTTCCCTAATAAACCCCATAATCTGTGTGTTCTGTGTGGCCACTGCAATGAACTATCAAACCCAGCAGAAAGGTGGTGAGTCCTGCAGGAGGGACAGTTGGTGTCAGGGTTGGTGAAAGGGCTGGAGGGAGGCAGCATGTCTGGCCTTGCAGGAATAGGCCTTGGGCTACTGATGGTGATTCTGTCTTCCTCTTGTGCAGTTAGAGGAGGTCAGAAGTTGAGGCCTCCCTGCATCTTTGGCAGGTTGATATTTCAAACCCATCCAGCAGCTTCACAGAAGAAAGACTTGGCAATCAGCTTCTGTAAAGATTACAGCCTAGAAAACTCCATGGGACAGTTCTACTCTGTCACATGGGGTCAGTATGAGTTGAAATCAACTCAGTGGCACCTAACAACAATAACTTTTTGAAAAGGGTCTTGGGTACCAGCTAGCACCAATTGCTGTCAAGTAGATTCTAACTCATGGTGACCCTGTGTTTGTCATAGTAGAACTGCTCCATAGGATTTTCAGTGGTTGATTTCTTTGGAAATAGATTGCCAGGTCTTTCTTCCAAGGCACCTCTGGCTGGACTCAAACCTCCAACCTTTTGGTTAGAAACCAATCACATTAATCATTTACACCACCCAAGGACATATTTCCAGGTAGTAAAGTATTGTAATGAGTGGGTTTTTTTTTTTTCTTTATATTAAGATCAGGCCTTTGTAACACTCACCACAAATGATGCCTATGCCAATGGAGCCCTGGTCCTGAGTTCATCTCTGAAACAGCACAGGACCACCAGGAGGCTGGCCGTGCTCACCACTCCAAAGGTTGTGGACTCTATGAGGGTTTGAGCACCAAATGGAGAAAGATGCGAGTTGATGAATGAAGGATTCACAGGTCTAAAACCTCTTCCTAGCATTTGGGAAGACACTCCAGCCAAGGTTTGTAGCTCCCTTCTGGGAGGTAATGTTCTGGCCTACATTCTTCCTGATTCCAACTAAGAGTGGAAGAAAAAGGACTCCCCCTAAGCAAATCCTCTGTGTGATCTGAAAAAATTTTAGAGACAGTCTTTGATGAGGTCATCACAGTAGATGTCCTAGACAGTGGTGATTCTGCTCATCTACCCTTCATGAAGAGGCCCGAGTTTGGTGTCACATTAACAAAACTGCACTGGTGGTCACTTATACAGTATTTAAAATGTGTGCTCATGGATGCAGATACTCTGGTTCTAGCAAACATTGACGATCTTTTTGAGAGAAAAGAACGGTCAGCAGCACCAGACCCAGGGTGACCTGACTGCTTTAATTCTGGAGTCTTTATTGATCAACCTTCAGTTGAAACATACAATCAGCTGTTGCATATTGCTTTAGAGAAAGGTAGCTTTGATGGTGGGGATGAGGGTTTACCGAACACATTTTTTAGCAGCTGGGCCACAACAGATATCAGAAAACACTTGCTATTTATTTATAACCTAAGCAACATTTCTATATATTCCTACCTCTCAGCATTTAAAGCATTCAGTGCAAATGCCAAAATTGTGCATTTCCTGGGACAAATCAAACCATGGAATTATACTTATGATTCCAAAACAAAAAGTGTGAAAAGCGATGCCCATAACACTACCATAATTCATCCAGAGTTTCTCAATATGTGGGGACATCTTCACCACTAACGTTTTACTGCTACTTCAACATGGCTTTGTCAAAGAGTCCTTCTCATGCCAAAAGGTGGAACAGACCTTGGCAGCCATATCACATCTTTCCCTTGGGGAGGTCACACCTGCACCACAGCCTTTTTTATCCTCAGAAGAACAGAAGGAGCAGTGGAAACAGGGCCAGGCTGATTACTTGGGAGCAGATTCCTTTGACAACATCAAGACGACACTTGACACTTACCTCCAGTAGAAACACTGCCATTTTCCCTGTGAACACATCTACTTCACAGGCACTTGTTTCTGACACTGAGTACCTAGAACTAGGTTGAGAAAGGTCTGTTACAATTGCTAAAGGCTTTCACTAAAACTCATCACATGAGGGATTTTTGCAGGACAGCAAGTGAGAACTGGGCAGAAGTTGTGAAACCAATTCTGTTATGTGGACAGAGTTCTGCTTTTAAAACCTCAATATTTTCAGTTAATGTTTCAGAAGTTCTCAATTAATGC